CCCTTTTGAAGAAAAAGCAGGTTCTTTTCCGTGATATTTTTTATAACAACTTGAAAGGCAGTATGGCTTATGGGAAAAGAGGCCCAGAGTGGGCAGCCTGAAGGCACCAAATCATGGTGATCTCAGTGTCACTATTTTTTCTGACATCCAGTGTTTTTCAAGAAGCACCCCCTGCTGGAATCCTCTTTCATTCAAAAGGTAAATTGCCAGTTTTCACGGTTTGGAAGGACACTTGAGTGTCTGAAGTGACTGCAGAAACCTCGAGGCCATTAAAAAAAGAAAAACTGTTTTGATTCTCATGAAATCTTAAAGCAATCCCATGATTTCTTAGAATATGCTTAATGAGTTCTGATTCCACAGCTGGTGGTACAGTTTTACTATGATGTGGCTTCTCTTTACCATTGTTTAAATGTGGTATTTTGTGCTTTAATAAAGACTCAGCCCTTGGAGTTACGCAATTATAAAAAAAAATAATTTGGCACCCCCTTACCCTCCTCATAATTGCAGGCAAAATTTTGAAAATAGAAAGCCTGAAAATTAAGATGTGAAGACAAAAAAAAACGAAGGGAAGGTCTCCCTCTCAAAGTGAGCCCCTGGGTTGTGCCTGCCAGGTTGTTTCCACCTCTGCGTCCTGTTTCTCCGCAGCCATTGCAATCACCGAGCAGCCGGTCTCCGTCTCCGTCCCTGTGGGGTACTCCTTCACCCTGCGGTGCAGAGCCGAGGGGCGCACATTGCTGCAGTACCAGTGGTTCTGTCAACACCAGGTAATGGTGGGAGCGAAGGCACCAGGCTGGATCCCTGTCTGTGGTGATGGAACTGGGCCTCTACGGGCAAACCTTATGGGAACCAGGAGGCCAAAAGGGGAAGGGAAATAGGATGCGTGTACACACCAAGGGCGTCTGCAGGTGCTCAGAGGGAGCATGCGATGGACAAGCTCCTCCTGTATCCCTGCGGCTGGAGGACGGGAGGAATCCTGGGGTTTCTGTTTTCCTGCTCTTCCTGCTGGTGCATTCTACTACCAGAGGTGAGGGGGGACTTGCTGCCCACCACCTCTGTTTTCCCTTTAGTCTGTCTGCCGCCAGATTCCTGGTGCCACTGAGCAAGACTTGCCCCTCACTGCGCTGCAGAGCCAACTCTACACCTGCAGAATTAATGACCTCTACAGAAATGCTGTCTTCTCCAACTGGGTAAAAGTGGAGGTCCATCAGTGTGTTGCCAGAGGCATGTCTTCTAGCTTTTCTCTGTTTTATACTTTGTGCAGACATTGTATCCCCTTGCAATGGTGATCGTTTGTGGTTCCCAGGGCTGTGTCCCCTCCCAGCTCGAAAATCGTAATACAGAAGGATTGCTCCAGCAACGTGAACCTGCAGGTCTAAGCCAGCCCTCTGTGTCCATCCTCTGGATGGTTCAGGTCCCTGTTGTGGTCCCAATAACCC